ATGCCGAGGTGCTAAATATTAAGTCGAAGAGACCCGCCGAGAGATAGAGAGAGAGAGACAGAGAGAGATAGATAGAAAGAGAGAGATAAGTTTCGATCGACGATTCACTTTTCTTTCTAATTATCACAAGCGCGACGAAGAGACGCGACGAAATTCACTGAAAACATTCATCTCCACTTTAACGTCGACGATAATGTAAAAACAATGGGAACGGGCGCGCTGGGGTTAATGAAAACGGTGTCGGTTCGATAGCATTATTTTGTTCCATGACATGCATTAAATAAATTTAAACATTGAGCCGAGTGCAAAATGAATTCATGCTTACGATCAATGCCAAATCTCATATCAATGCGAAATCACATTAACTATGCCATATCATTGCTTATCATATAATCTTGTAAACGCAGTTGAGAAAGACTTAGTGTGAAAAGTGCGCGTGTAAGTTCGTGTTTTCCGATTCCGACACTCGCTCGCATGCACTATTCAACGAGCGCTGCGCACCCGTAGGCATTAATAATTCAAAATAAGTGCGTTCGATAATACACGAAAGCTTGTTAAAACGATACGTACGAAATCATTGACACGAGATTAAAAAAAAAAAAAAAAACAAGCGTGCGCAATTAATGAAGCGACATTGATAAGTATTTATAGATAATTCCGAGGCTGGAGTACCATTAATTCAGACTCCCAAATACTACGGGGATTTTTTCATTACTACGACATTGCTGTTTAATTAGATATGAGTTTCTACGCGACAGGCGTGAACGCTTGAGCGAAGCACAGCCGCCCGCCCGACAAATCAATCATTATCCGCTCGTAACGCTCATCGTTATCAACTCGACGTACTTATGCTTCCTGCATACGTCGCGCAATCATTTAGCCAACTTAATGAAATATCGACTTTTCAATGCTGGCACATACCGATCCAGCCTCTTCCACCTCGGGCGCAGCCGCCGAGCTGTAAGAAACGTTGAATGAATTTGAAAAGAGAGACGGGAGAAAAGGCTGTACGAGCTTGCGAGAAAAACCAAGTAGCGAATGTCCATTGAACGGGGGGATGAGAGAGATAGAGATAGAGAGAGAGAGAGAGAGAGAGAGAGAGAGAGAGAGAGAGAGAGAGAGAGAGAGAGAGGGGGGAATGAGAAAGAAGGTAGCAGGCGACGGGCTGTCTGAAAAATCGTAGCAGGACGCGTCTTGGCGATAAGCTTTGCCAAGATAAAGAGCAAAACGCGTATCGTGAAGCCGACGATTTCCGCACGTATAATCCAATCTAATCAGGAGTGACGACAGATGACGCTCATTAAGAGAATAGCTCCCGTGCTTTTCTCTACAATTCAAAAAGTCGATGGAACATTAGCGTTTCAATTTTACGAGCTTCCTCGGATTAAGCAAACTTTGTGTGTGTGTGTTCTTTGCCTCGATCTTCCAACTCTATTCAATCGATAAAATTTTTGGAATTAACATTAAAGTGGCATTTTAAAATTTTATCGGATTATCGCTCGCTAATCATTAGCTCGGACGTTACAATGTTTGTGGAGATATTAGATTGCAAAACAAAAAAAAAGAGTCTTTGATTCTGCTTTCTATGATTTAAAAATTTGCTGACTTCTCGGGCTGACGTTACCAATTGAGTTTTTAAAAACATAAATTTCAATTTTACAATCATGCAGCAGCCTAGGAGCGAGATTGTTAGCTCGTTGTTGTTAAAATTTAGTCGAGATTGCATTCGGCTTATTGTCTATCGCATTATAAATCGCTCGTGCCGTGAGATCGCGGAGACGCGCGTTACGCACACGTAATCAGGCAATTGATTGTTGCCTACGAGGTAAGAAAAGCTGTGCTTACCTTTTCGTTCTGATAGGCCGTGACCGCAATGAATTCCGTCTCCTTGAAAACATAACTTCTGAAGGTGGAGTAGGGCAGCTTCAAAATATCATTAGCCCTGACGAGATGAAACCTCGGCTGGTACTTGTGCATCGAGTTCAATATCGTCTGTAACAAGAAGCGGAGGCTACATTGGGACAGACTGTTTTAAATTTAAACTATCGGTCGATTATTCCAATTAACTCGATCGTTAATCAATAATATAAGCGTTAAAATATCGAGCCATACGACCTTTTTCATTTAAAGCTCCTCTTTGTTTTTCGTATGCGTACAATATATAACTAATACGCCATTGTATAATGCTTAATTATATTAATGGGATGGATGCGCGTAGATGTTGGATCGTTGTTATTTCTTTACGTAAATGATTTTTATCCATGCTCAATTAGGTTTGATCTTAGTGACCTATGATAATAAAAACATATGAATATTTCAACGTTTAAGTTGCGATATGCTAATATCATTTTCCGACACTCGATACTTATTCTATTATGCAATTAAAGTCAGAAATAATTATATATAATCGTCCGATGTGCGCTCGAAGGGTTTTTCCTTAAAATTTTCGCCGTTATTCGCAAGAAGGTTCGCTTCGATGTTGCGCAAATTTGGCTTGGCTAGGCGAATAATTCATGGAAATACGTCTGCAAGAACACTTTAACGTGGGTAAATTACACGTCGACATTAGGCGCCGAGTTTTTCGAAAAGATCAAGGTATCCCTTGGTTCGAATGTAGTCGTCGTCGTCGTCGTCGTCGTCTTCGTCGTCGTCTTCGTCGTCGTCGTCGTCGTCGTCGTCGTCGTCGTCGTCGTCGTCGTCGTCGTCGTCGTCGTCGTCGTCGTCGTCGTCGTCGTCGTCGTCGTCGTCGTCGTCGTCGTCGTCGTCGTCGTCGTCGTCGTCGTCGTCGTCGTCGTCGTCGTCGTCGTCGTCGTCGTCGTCGTCGTCGTCGTCGTCGTCGTCGTCGTCGTCGTCGTCGTCGTCGTCGTCGTCGTCGTCGTCGTCGTCGTCGTCGTCGTCGTCGTCGTCGTCGTCGTCGTCGTCGTCGTCGTCGTCGTCGTCGTCGTCGTCGTCGTCGTCGTCGTCGTCGTCGTCGTCGTCGTCGTCGTCGTCGTCGTCGTCGTCGTCGTCGTCGTCGTCGTCGTCGTCGTCGTCGTCGTCGTCGTCGTCGTCGTCGTCGTCGTCGTCGTCGTCGTCGTCGTCGTCGTCGTCGTCGTCGTCGTCGTCGTCGTCGTCGTCGTCGTCGTCGTCGTCGTCGTCGTCGTCGTCGTCGTCGTCGTCGTCGTCGTCGTCGTCGTCGTCGTCGTCGTCGTCGTCGTGGTCGTTGTCGTCGGTGTCGTCATAGTCGATGCTAAGGGAAAGAAGCCCATATACATGTATAGTCAGACCGCGAATCGCAGTCATTTCCGCCTCGCGCTCCTGTGTCGGTGACTCCGAGGATTGACCGCTATTACCTCGTCGAGCGAAGGGGCATAATTTATTCAACGACCATCGCCTCTGTACCCCCCCGGGAGCGAATGATCGATAAGGAAGGCAAAACTCAGCTTTCTCCCCCCCCCCCCAATCCCCCCCCCCCCCCCCCCCCCCCCCCCCAACGCTCGCTGTCATCAACTCCCTTTACGCTTAATCTTCCTCTCCACGCTCTATCTGTATTTCTCCACCGTCTTTATCTATCTATCTATCTATCTTCGTATTTTCCTCGAGGAGGAGAGAAGCTTTGCCAAGTATGTATAATGTAGCGTGCCACGCGAAAACTTTTGCTATTCTATAGATTGATAATTTTCGCTTGTTTGCCGACGATTACTCGGCTTAGATTGCAATTGCGATTGAGTGGGAAAAAGGGGATTTATGCGCTGCTCGCTATTTATTCATTATGCAACTTTACATTTGTATCCGACCCACTAGCTCGATGGTAAAATTCATGACCAACAAAATTTCATCCCATCGTTCGATTGTTTATTAGATATATTTAAATAAATAATAGCTACACGAGTCGTTCGATCAATTGAAATGCCGACGCTGAATTTTTAATCCATAGAATGTTAGAAATTCGTAGAGTTTATGTGGAGGATAAATGTTGCCTTTCTTGGATTATGGGCACTGCCTGCGCGCGCTCAACACAAGTAAATATAAACATAATCTTGGAAGGATTAATACGATTTTATTAGCTTATCGTTAAACATTTTTCCACCCAACCTTTCGCAATGCTAATTATTCTAGCCTCGAATACAAAGGATATAAAATTCGCGTGTGCTCCCGATAGTTTTCAGAGCAATTACAATATCCGTTGGGCAGTTACTGCGTAAAAAACAAACAAACAAACAAACAAACAAACAAACAAACAACAATAAAAAAAAACAGAAGAAGAAAAGAATAAAGTAGGTATTCATAATTTAAGGGATATAAAATGGCCCTTGTAAGGGCTATAATTTTCCTAATCCTATCACTTGCACGGCATCGAAAAGTAAATGACATCCATGTATTTGTTCTTAATAAAGTTTTCCCTAAGCCGTTCTAAATTCTCTCTCGTAAAATCTCTCCTTCTCTTTGTTTCTGTCCTAAAAAACAAACGAAATATTAACGTCAGTTCTTTTAAGCGCCCACCTTTACGACCTCCTGAATACTCTTTTTCTCTATCTCTCTATCTCTCTCTCTCTCTCTCTCTCTCTCTCTCTCTCTCTCTCTCTCTCTCTCTATGTCTCGTATTCTACTACATGTGCGCGCGCAGAGTTTATTATTAAAAAGAACGATGTAAAAAAGGAACGATGTGGAAAGACGTTTTTCGCGACGAGCCGATAAATATCCCATTTATGCGAACTCGTCGTTAATACGCAAAAAAGTGAAAAAGAAATGCTGAGCTGGAGGGAGAGAATGAGTGAGCGAGTGAACAAGCCCCCGGCAGCGTCTCTCTCCTGGAATTATGGATACGTGTGCACGCGCCATTGGCTGAGTGTACATAGTGGCCTTTATGTAAACGCCGTTAATCGCGGTAGCAGCCGAGAGATTTTCTCTCCCTACGTACCTCTTTGGTGATTTTTCGCGGCGTAACGCTCTTTTAAAGCGTCGTTAAAGATCGACGCCGCCGCTAACGTCGCCGCCACTACGTAAACGAGTTCGGGGTTTATGTGTGCGCACCGCCCGAGTATGGGAAAGCATCGAAGAGCGAGCGAGAGAGAGAGAGAGAGAGAGAGAGAGAGAGAGAGAGAGAGTGAGTGAGAGAGAGAGAGAGAGAGAGAGAACAAGTGAGAGCGTTGATTCGTCTTAGTATGTGCGGGTGGCGAGGGAGGGGGTAGTACGAGGGAAAGATGAAATTTAAAACTGACCATGGAAAACTGCCCCGCCTCCGTCCATAATCACATTAACAATATAAACACTTATTAATGTTTGTCTTTATTCGAGCTCGTCGATTCCAGTATACAGGCACTTTTTCCGTTACGTTACGTTGCTTAATGATAATTCGTTTTATATTGCATGTACGCATGTGTCTCGCATTTGTTGAGTGATATTTCTTTTGTGTTATCACTTGTGAACGGAATAATACCGAATGAAAATTCGATAAGTAAATGCACCAAAGCATCTTCATCTTCATCATCATATTGTAAACTTGATTGCTTATATCGGGTAAACTGTATATTTAAATGCGATAATCTCATTCATAATGGTTAATCGTTTAATGAAAAAAACAAAAACTCTAAGAAAAACAAAAACAAAAAAATGTACGAGAAAATTGGTAGCTTGTACGACGCGAATTCTTTCTAATCAAACTAAGTAAACACTTTGATTTCTTATTCTTAAGAGCTAATAGTGTGCGAAAACATTGTTCGCTCGCAAAGATGAATTATATATAAATAGGGCTTCCCTGCAATACCATGCAACGGCAATTTATAAAATTAATCCGAGCATTATTTATTCAACAATTTCATTATGTGAAGAGAGGTCGAGTGGAGAGTAGCATTAAACGTGTACGTAGTATAATACGCAATTGTACCTTATTACCTTTCACCGTCCCAGCTTCGACTCGCAATCGCCTATATTCTTTATTCAGTCTAGCTCAATCTCAAGGCACGTTTTTTTTTTTTTTTTTTCTTTTTTTTTATGTACAACACGTAGATGATATAATAATGGATTTGAAGAATCAAATGATTATTTAAGATTATCTGCTTTATAAATTATTCAACTTATATAGCAGAGAGTACGAAAAATACATTCAATTATCATGATGAATTCATAATTACACGATGAACGAAGTGTTATCGTTGCGGAGTTTAATAATATCTGCACGGCCATAAGGGGATAAATATTGTTGAAATTTTATATCTAAAGCCATCGCTTAAGCACCACCAATGCTTTTGCAATGTTAACGATTCGCTCTTTGCAAATAAATAATCTTCTTCTTGCGTATGATCGACGATCATAAACAACACGACACTCGGCCTTAATTTCAATTCAATTTTACAATATGGGATATACAATATAATTAACAGTGCCCATGCGTTAAATAATTCCAAGATGAAAAGCAAACAAGAGGTTAGAAATGATATGGACGATGGGACAAAAAGCGCGTTCCTAGAATTGATTAAAGTTGAATTATAGAAGCTAGACGCAGCCGTATTTTAATGCCCGGCTTCTCGGGAAAAAGAGCAGGGAATGCCCGAAGAATTCACCGGCGATACTCCATAAAGTCGAAGATAATCGGTAATAGAGAATCGCAGACAGCAATATTTCCAGGGAAGGATGAGCGACGACCCGGTTGAAAAAGCCACGCGTGGCCCATTCGACTTATCCGAGAAACAAAAGAGGTCTCGCGCGGCATCGTATCGGCCGATCGTAAAAGGATGCTATCGTGAAGAAAAATGTATAACGGACGGGGAGGATGGAGTGAATCGGTGCTCAGCGGTCAATAAATAAAATATCCGAGTGGCCATTACGCGGCGACGCGGTGCACCACAAAGGAAAATAATTAGCGCTCGGCGAGATAGCGCTAATCTAGCGGCATTAGCCTATCGGCGCACGAATGCCGTTGCCGATATTCGCTTTGTGGGATGCCGAGGTGCTACGTGACGGACGAATTGGAATCGGGAAGGGTTTGCAATGTGGTATGTGGTATGGTGTGG